CCCAAATAATACCAAGATGCTGAATCATGATATGCTTCGATATAATTGGCACAAGTTCGGTCAAAGTAGATATGCCTGGGTTCAGCGACATAATTCATGATGCTTCGATATTGAATTGGCCGAAGTTAGGTCCGAGTAGATCTGTCTGTGTTTTGCCCAAGACCTGGCGGAAAAAGACCAAAAGCCCAGATCCCCTTTAGCACTTGAAGACTTTGAAAGCATGGTCGACGGGTCCAAAGAAGTCACCTAGACCCCAGAGACCCGGTTCTCGGATGTTAGATGAAGTCATGACCTCCCTAAGTCACTAGCCTTGGTTTTAAGACCTTTACCCATAGACCTAGCCCTAAACCTCACTCCATCGGAGTGTCCTTTAGATCGTCCGAGAACCAATTCTCCAAGGCCTCAGCCAGCGATTGCTGGTGAAGGTGCGATTTCGTCTCGGTGATGAGTCGGGCACATGCTAAGTCCGCGATGTTGGACAACCATCTCAAATGGGTCTCGTCGAAGACCAAGGAGACCACCGGCAGTCCTGATTGCAGGGCAGCGGTGCCTAGGGCACCGCTGCCCGGCGAAAGGTCCATAAGGTCCACAAGACCATAATTCTTGAAGACCGTCTCGAAGACCTTGACCGGCTTGCCTTCAGTTTTGCGGAAACAAAGAATAACAGGGTTTAGGGTTTAGGGTTGAAAGTTTAGGGTTTAGTGGCTTTACTAACTGAAGCAGGCCACTCTCAGTCCAGAAGAGCGGAACGGCCGACCCAGTCCAGGAAGGCGGTGCGGCGGATGTCAACTCCAAGATATTGGCCTTCTGCTCTCTGGAGATCCGTGGAAGCCCGTCCGTGTCCGCCATGGCCACAGACTGGTACACACAGTCCGATGTCGTAGCATCAGCCTTGCAGTACTTGTCGACACGTGGCCGGCAGGACATCCTGACCCGAGGAACCGGCAGCCTGACCAAGCAGACCTCACGAGCAAAGTCCGATCCGAAGACCTCCCTCCCGCCGAGGGACGACTTCTGGGCCTGCACAGCATTCACAATAATTTAAAGTACTAGGTCAGAC